GTATTTCTGGCACTGGACAGTACTCGATGCCGAGCAGGCAGCCTACAGTTGAAAAGTGTACGGAGTGATCTTGAGATAGTTACAGGGGGAGAAGAGACAACAGTTTTTTCAATGTTTGTGAAATGTGCGTAAATGCAAGGTGTGCTTGAACGCGTTGTGTCAAGGCATTTATCTGGAAAGCATGAGCACAACACAAATTAGTTGATACACAAAACTAGTTAAAGCGGTTGTTGATGAACAAAACGTAAAGAAAGCCAATGATGTCAAGAGACGTCATTACCAACACACCAAAAAACTTCCGTTTTGTTCGACCTTGTATATGCAAGTGAATAAAAAAACTTAAACCCCATCCTGGTTTGGAAAAAGGTACTCCAAACCTGAATCCCCAAATCCAAATTCCCACTCTGGTACCCAGCTTGCTGAATTTCTGGGACCTGAGTTTGTGTTGTGAAAGAGACCGCCCTGGGCTACTTGTAACAAAACTTAGGTACTCGTCTGTTCATTTGTCCGAAGGGATGATGCGTCGATATCGAGCCCAGCAACCTTGCGGCCTGTAGGGACGACTGCTGCGGGTATTGGCTGGGTCCTGTCTGTTATTTATGCTTTTAGACAGCGCTGCATTGCTCCGCCGAGCGACATTGTGACGAAGCAATAGGACATGGAGCGTGGACGCGTTCTGGTGCAGGACAGGGAAGCGGGGTGTGCTGTCTACACTATCAGAACTGTCCTGCCCCCTCGGGCGTCTGCAATCTCACATGTGCGTGCGCTTGTTTCGCATGATGGCAGGCAAATCACGGACTATTTCTGTTTGCCAGTGACGTCTGAGCCAGGAAGTTGGCTAAGACTGTTTTGGCTTGGGATGGCGGCCCGCGAATAGAATAGCGGCCCAGAAGCCGCCTTTGCCAGCATTTAAGGTCGAGCTTTGGTCGCTTAAATATTCCGTCGTCGACCACACTTGTTTGAAGTGTGCATTGGCGTATGCTGTGGGGTTCTTCAGTAATCTCTTCCGGCTTTGGATTTTGTGTAGTATGTTGTTGAAAAGGGCGAAGTGTTATTACGCTTCGTTGTAGTAGCGTTTGGTGAAATGAACTTCAATAACGCTTGGCTGCCCATCAATTGATGTTTTGAGATCTTATGCTCAATAGCACTGACGCTCAGTACGCCAAGAGATGCTGCTTTTTGTTAAGGGCATATTCAAACAATCATTGGGATATACCATTAGAACACTCGCTTCAAAGCAGTGCTGATGGTCACGAGCGACTATTAACAACGCCTCGAGGCGCCGGACTTTCTCACCATTATCACAATGATTGTTTTGATATTCCCTGTAATCATGAGGCCTCTGGTATATTGGATGTCGGTTATTTTCCGCGAAAGAGCTCTTGGCGGTTAAAAAGGGGAGCTTACGGCCTTCATCAAGGATGCATGCGGTTATGATAACACAAGTCGCCGCATGATTGCACGCCAAGCGACTTCAGCACATGTGTTGCGTGAAGGCCACTTAATCAATCCGGGCTAGCGACTGCCTGTCGTATGGCAGCGTTTCCAGCCAGCCTCATGACGACCAGCGCCGCTCAGCCGTGCTGGGGATGGATCCCGATCGATGCACCCGCACCCTCGTCGCCAGTCGATGTGCCCAGACGTCGGCGGACCGCGAGTCCCTCGGTGACGCGCTGGTCCACCACTGTCGCTGAGCAATCGGATTACCTTCCGCAGGGACATGCGTGGTGTTTGGGTATATTGGTGCATTATGTCAACTGCGCGCGGTCCGAGTGACGCATGGCGCTTGCCTGATGTTGATGCCGTGTCGTATTTCCCGAACCGTGGAATGCGGTAGAGGCTAAGTCCCTGGGTTCGATGCATTTGAATGTTTGGATTTGGATTTGGGTTTGGGTTTGGTGGATATGTTTTAGGTCGTATGTTGCCACTTGCAGTGCATTTGTTACAAGAGTACCAAATAGCTCGGTTGTGGTCATACTTTGTACCTTTTTACTACGTATGGTCTGCATGGGTGACGGGCTGTCACGACTCTTTGGAAGCGGTCGGAGCGTACAGAGAATACGAACCGCATCTGCATCGTCGATGGGACGCTCGGTAATTCCCCACGCGCATTTCACTTCAAAATACGTAAATTGCCTCTTTTACTTCAGGAATGTAGTTGAACGTACATGATTCATGTCCTTAAATGATTAAGATCTCGTGGCACAGAGTCCGCGGTGCAAAAAGGCGTTAGTCACGTCTTGGACCCAAGGGACCTGCCGATGTAAGCTTCACCCTCTTCTGCCGGGTCCAGTGGTGTCATATTTGGTCGGAAAGCTGTGTGAAATTCGCCCGTATTTTCATGGTTGTCCGCGCAGGTGGAGTGTGTGGGCTCCAGGAACAGTCTGAAGCGTGATGTGTGCCAGACCCTGCACCAACCCTTAACCTCTTACTGGGCGGCCGCGCCTGCTCGCGTGCCTCAGTCACACTTGGCTGCAGAGCGCCGACACAGCCTCGCTGCAGCTGGTCTGCAGCGATCCCTGTCAACGTATCGCCCAGGCACGACGTCACCACAATCATAGAGCTCCCTCACGCTATTGTTTGGGTGTAAGCTCATCGTCTCACTGGCGTTTTAGCATCTTCCAATAGGCTTTTGGACATTTTGTGGTTAGATTTGGGCAGGCCGTGAACCAAGTTTTTCGATGACGTGTTTGTTTTTCGACTTCATTATCCTTGATAAAATAGGTCGAGTCGTTCATGCGCTGTAACACTATGCCAGCGCCATAGTGACGACACAAGTCATCCAGTCACACCTTTTAACAGAAGACACGAACAGTGAGGGGTGCATGCGGTCTCCGTCAGTGGAACTCACCGCATTTTCTGTTGAGCCCTGGTGAGGGACTCTCTCTCTCTCTCTCTCTCTCTCTCTCTCTCTCTCTCTCTCTCTCTCTCTCTCTCTCTCTCTCTCTCTTCTCTCTCTCTCTCTCTCTCTCTCTCTCTCTCTCTCTCTCTCTCTCTCTCTCTCTCTCTGTCTCTGTCTCTGTCTCTGTCTCTGTCTCTGTCTCTGTCTCTGTCTCTGTCTCTGTCTCTGTCTCTGTCTCTGTCTCTGTCTCTGTCTCTGTCTCTGTCTCTGTCTCTGTCTCTGTCTCTGTCTCTGTCTCTGTCTCTGTCTCTGTCTCTGTCTCTGTCTCTGTCTCTGTCTCTGTCTCTGTCTCTGTCTCTGTCTCTGTCTCTGTCTCTGTCTCTGTCTCTGTCTCTGTCTCTGTCTCTGTCTCTGTCTCTGTCTCTGTCTCTGTCTCTGTCTCTGTCTCTGTCTCTGTCTCTGTCTCTGTCTCTGTCTCTGTCTCTGTCTCTGTCTCTGTCTCTGTCTCTGTCTCTGTCTCTGTCTCTGTCTCTGTCTCTGTCTCTGTCTCTGTCTCTGTCTCTGTCTCTGTCTCTGTCTCTGTCTCTGTCTCTGTCTCTGTCTCTGTCTCTGTCTCTGTCTCTGTCTCTGTCTCTGTCTCTGTCTCTGTCTCTGTCTCTGTCTCTGTCTCTGTCTCTGTCTCTGTCTCTGTCTCTGTCTCTGTCTTGTCTCTGTCTCTGTCTCTGTCTCTCCTCTTCCCCCTTTCTCCCCTTCTGGAACTTCAACCTAGGGACAGTGAGCAAGTTCTTCACCGTGCCCTCGCCGCCACCGGGGCGGCTGCATTCGGACATACGAGCTTGTCTGTATAGAACAGAGAATGCAATTCATTCCTCTTGGTGACCGCATGCCATCTAGGTGCAAACACCGTTTAGATGTTGTCCGTGACTTTATTGGTGTTGCATTTCGCAGGTTGCATTGAATAAAAAGAGCGAATGGCCTAGGTGGTAAGCGTTACACACAATTTAACCCATGACACTTTGAACCTTCGAGATTATTGTGCTGGCCAATGCTTACATTTAGCGGAAGCATGTAAACTCGTTTTCGAAAGGGCGATTTTTTTGTTGCATTGTTCTTATGATCCATTGGGCGCTACCATCGCGCGCATGGCATCTCCCTGATCATCGCATATCTTCAAATACTAACAAGTTACCCGGCCTTTTACTGTTAGCTGTATAGGTCTGAGACTTCAGGTTCTGTGGCGGGAGCAATCGCTTACGCTGTGCCGCCAGCTGGAGACCTCTGCCCTGGCTCCGGATGTTTGGCTTACCGCAAAGACACTCGGAAATGGTCAGATGCTGTTCACGGCCTTGCCGTTTTTGGTGGCACAGCGTTCGATGTGTGCAAATTAAACCATGGCTGATAAGGCCCGTCCTTTTCTCACGGCTGAGTCCGTAGCCAATGTCATCCATCACTGCCGGGTCCAATCGAAATTGCATTTTGATAGCTGACATGGTGAAGTCGATATATATATATATATATATATATATATCTATATCTATATATATATGTGTGTGTGTGTGTGTGTGTGTGTGTGTGTGTGTGTGTGTGTGTGTGTGTGTGTGTGTGTGTGTGTGTGTGTGTGTGTGCGTGTGCGTGTGCGTGTGCGTGTGCGTGTGCGTGTGCGGGTGCGGGTGCGGGTGCGGGTGCGGGTGCGGGTGCGGGTGCGGGTGCGGGTGCGGGTGCGGGTGCGGGTGCGGGTGCGGGTGCGGGTGCGTGTGCGTGTGCGTGTGCGTGTGCGTGTGCGTGTGCGTGTGCGTGTGCGTGTGCGTGTGCGTGTGCGTGTGTGTGTGTTGCTGTCAAAAACGCTGTAACGTTGCCTTGTGTGACATGCAACAATATGAGGCGTTGGGGCAACTTTTTCACGCCCCATGTCATTGTTGTCAAGTGGCTGTTCGGTTGTATTACCACGCCTGAAATGACCCTCCTCTGTCTGACGTTTTGAGATTGCCATCAACGTGTAGAGTGTTCGTCTTTCATAGCCTGGCACAAATAGTCCTCTTCTAAGAAAGTGACATGATATCCAGCTATTCCTCTTCAAGGGAAGACATTTAGCTCTGATACAGCATCTGCCGTTTACCTAGCTGTGCCGGCGTGCCTTAACAGCGTATCGCTGCGGCAGGTTCGCCAAGAACCTGACGGCGGACAAGATCAACATCAGCACCATGCGCGGCGAGGGCGAGATGTCCAACCTGGAGCTGAACGAGGCGGTCATGACCGACCTGCTCGAGCTCCCCGCTTGGATGCGCATCACGCGCGTCTGGTGTAACCGGGTCGCCGTGCGCATCCACTGGACCAAGCTCAAGTCTGTGCCCATCTATGTGGTACGGCCGCCGACGCTGCGCGCGCGCCCGCCTGGCAATGTGGCGTGCGGCGGCTGGTGCTCCGCTGTGTGTGACGTTTGCTGGGGAGGTGCGTGCGTGACGGGCTGGGCTGACGTGCTGCGTACGGTGGCGGTGCCGCGTGTGACACGTGCTGTGGGACGGTGACACGTGCTGGGGGCGATGTGCTGTGGTGTGTATGTGGTCCGGGCGGCGTGTGCCGAAGATGCTGCAGTGGTGGGTGGCACGTGCTCAGGCGGGGCGTGTGGCAGGACGGCGTGCTGCTGCTGGGTTTGTATCCGTTCTTCGAAGACGGGGAGCCTGCAGGACTGAAGTCCCAGGGTCACCTGTCTGTGCTGCGTGGCTCGATAGCGCGACCTTGCGTATGGGATAAGTACGTGAATGCCCTTACCATCCGCGTGCACAACATGCTATGGCACCACCGCTTGTCTGCTTTCACGACGCACGTAACAGTGCTGTAATGATAATCGAAGCATAGTCCCGCTGACCAGCATGGAAAACCGCACACCA